TGATTGAAAACCAAACACTCTGAAATGTTGGTATTGTAGCTTCCAGCGCGAATGCCAAGCAGTAAAGCATACCATTTTCAAATTTATGGCAGAATGAATTGCGTTATTGTGCTCTTTTTTCTCACAGGCCAACTGACACTACAATTCTGTGTAATCTTCAAATTCACAAACAAACAATGCGCATGCGCGAAATTAAAAATACAAAATGGCGACAATTTATCTAGACATGTGTATACGCATACATACAATCACAGAGTACACGCAAACACACACAGGGTCAGATGCCCGAAGTCCGACAATAGACAGAAATATTTAATTCGCGCATCATTACATATGTCAGACAAGAAATTCTTCCAAATTCTTACCATTTTTTCAGAATTTTAGACAGCTTGAAAGCCAAGAACGATAATCGGTATTAGAAGAAGTTTGAGAGAATGAATGATAAGCGTTATTAAACTATTTCAGTTTGGCATAATTAAAATTGTTTGCAAAAAAAAAAAAAAAAAAAAAAAAAAAAAAGTTATTGCAACAACAATCCCATCAACGTCAAAATGCAAATTAGAAAATGAATTTAACAAAAGAAACGGGACAGCGTTCTGAACCACTTCGCAAAATCGAACTAAAATTAGGTTATCTGTCTTAAGTGTTTCTTTGTTGGGATTAGAAAATTTCAGCAGATCTGGTGAATGGGGAAAATTATATATATATATATATATATATATATATATATATATATATGAAAATTTCTCAGAGTTAACCTGTAGAAAAGACAATATGAGCACAAAAGTGACCTCACAAAAATCAACTTAGCTAATGCACTAGTCATACATAGAAATAAATTCAACCACAATTTTGATTTTAAAAATGCTACACTCATGAAAGAAAAGAAAATCACTCACTCAGAAAGAAAATTCTAGAGAGTGCCGCCATTGAATATTACCCAAATATTAATCTACGCCCAGGCTTTTTCCCTGTTTTACCTTTCTTAACAAAATAACTGCTCTCCCAAACAAACGTACGCAACAATATCGTAAAATCAAAAGAAAATGGTTGAATCCGTCAACACAGTAATAATAACAATATCTCCACACGTGACAGTAATTGACGTAATTTTCAGTTAATTGTATGAAAATAGCATTCTCTAAATTCTTCCAGTTGCTAAGGACATTTTGTTTTTGTTATTATTAGTTACTTTGTTTAAATAAATTCATTACTTTTTTTGCTTTGAGAAAGTCCACATTGGACGAAACACGTCAGCAGCTACTACAGTTTTTCTATTGTCATTTATATTTAAATATATATATATATATATATATAACAACTATAGAGATGAATTTGTGTTTAATTACTCCTCAATTTCGAACCGCAAATATTCAATTTTTGTCAATATTGAGGTAAAACTTTTCTTTTATCTAATTTTATTAAAAACAGGTTGTCATTTCGAAATGATAACAGGAAGGACCATTGAAGGCAAGAGAAATAATTCTATTTTAATTCTTAAGACGTTATATCAATTCAGATAATAAATAAAATGAATCTGTGTGATAACCATCTAGCTTCTAAAGTGAGACGGATAAAAAAAATGCTTAGGTCTAGTCGTAGAGGATAAAGAGTTCAGTTAATATATATCTTCATATATCTATAATCTTAATGGAATATAATTAGGTAGCTCCAAAGGAAATCGATACCTAAAGTTTAAAATCCACTTTAAAAAAGAAAAATTTTCTTGAAGCTTTTATTTTAGTTTAAATTTCAACCTAACAGATTAAATTTAATATTTCCAATAATCAAAATAATTTGCTGTATTTTAAACCGAATTTAAACTGATTGAGATTTGTTTTTGCTTATTATCAGTAAAAACTCTCCATATTGACAAATCAGTCAAGACAAGGTAATTGTCTTTATTAAAAAAAATCTTTCAAAAATATATTTTTCTGAAACATTAATTGATGAAGATTAGCTGATTTAAAGTTTAATTAAAAATATTGCTTACTTTTAGTTTAAAATCTCGCAGAAAAGCATTTTAACGTGGAAATGGATGTCTTTATGAGGTGTGATCAGCTTTCTCGCTACACCTATATTTGGGAATTTTTTGTAAGTGGAACAATAATATTTCTTGAATAACATAACGGGAACTATGGACAAATAGGGAACCCCCAAACTGAGGTCAAAACATTATGAATGCATAAAAATGCATATTTATATTAAAAATGCCAGCCATAATTTTTAATAGTAAAATCATTTCCAGCAAGAGATTTTAAAAGAAACAAAAGTTCCTTTAATAGATTTTAATAGTAAAAATAAAGTTACGAATGCTCACAACAAAATTAAATTTCGGCTTTAAATAACCCATAAGGAGTTGATGTGCCGTTAAATAAACCAAACCAAATGTCTGGAGTTGGAGATATTATTTGAAATATATGTTGCGTCTTTTTCTTTGAGAAAAAAACAAAAAAAACATATTAGTTGATCATTTAGAATTTTTAAAAATGCGGTTACATAGGCCGGCAAGTACGCACGTCTTCCTCAACTGCTTTTTATCATCTGCGCATGCGTGTAGTGCATCGTTTAGCATGCCCGTTCATGCAACCAACCAGTTCTATATATGCATAAATACACGCGTACGCAACATAATCTATTTAGCTGATATTTAGATGGATGTGTGCTTCACCCCATTTCAATAAAAATCAAACAACAATTAGTCTAAAATCCTTTCGAAGGTCGAAACGCATAACAGAAGTTTATTTTTCATTTTGATATTAAACAAACGAACTCGACTGTAATTCCAACTCAGTCCATCGATTTCTCATTCCGAGCCGCTAACCATTTCACCAATGCCATTGGGTAAGGTATGGATTCATTGCTTCTCCTACTAACCTCCCGAGTTATGTATAGATAGCAGGACTGACTGTGCTCTATAGCCTTGGTTGGCACCCACTCTAGGAGAAAGAAAACGCTGAAATTCAAACTAGTCTGGATAGAGTTGGATCCCGTCAGGTTACTTTACCGAAGGCACACCACTGCTGCCAGTAATTGCTTTGTTTACGTTTGGATACGAAATTGAGCAGTTATGAACTTTTGAAAATTGGAAGGCGAAGTTTAAAGTTAAATAGAATCCTTCTTAATCATATATATATATATATATATATATATATATATATATATATATATATATATATATGTATGTATGTATGTATGTGTTTATGTGTATGTTTTGCGTGTTTGTACAGAGAGAGAGAGTATGTGTGTGTGAGACAGAGACACACAGAGAGAGAGAGAGAGAGCGAGATCGAACGTTAAAGGTGAGCTTAAAATCAAATAGAACCCTTTTTAATCACACACACACACACACACACATATATATATATATATGTGTGTGTGTCTGTGTGTGTCCGTGCGTTCTTGTATCTATGTGTGTGTGTGCGCGTGTGTGTGTGAGAGAGAGCGACAGAGAGAGCGACAGAGAGAGAGAGAGAGTGACAGAGAGATTGACAAAGAGATCGTATATGGCCCTTTTTTTTGCCCGCACAATGACTCACATCGCTTGCATGAAATCCAACGTGCATCATTCGCATTTGTATGAACAACAGCATCCAACAATTGATTTGATACAGTTCCACCGAAAGACAGTGAAATATAAGTGTCTTTTCTGATATTGTTTTTTTTTTGTATATTTTTAGATTACATTTTCTTTTTTATATTTTACATTGATGTTTTTGTAGTATCCTTTTATTGTTGGTTATATAAAACGACACATAATAAAATAAAATACTACTAAAATAAAAGGTGATGCATGTTGAGTTACTAGCGGAAGTACAATGTTTCCTTAGTAAGACTTCACAACAGTCGAATTGGTAAAGGGACATTTCGGCTATAGAAACGGTTTGCCTGATGGACAAGGCGATACAGATTCGATTCCCGTCAGAGGCATACTCTTTCTTTAGTAAGTCTTCTCAATCTAGGCCGATTTTCTTCTGTTTAAGAAAATAAAGAAAAACAAACAATGATAGCACCTCAGATATGTTTATTCATTAAAATAATGTCTATAGTAATAAGAAATAAAACGATATATATGAGAGAAAAAGAAAAAAAAAACTCTAAATGAATTAGGCTAGATAAAAAATATTCTAAAATACCCAGCACCCCTCAGTCGTACGCTTTTATATTCCAATGAAGTCCTGAAGAACGAAACGCGTCACAAGTAAATTTTTTACACTTTGTCATATATTTCCTGATATATATATGTGTGTGTTTTTATATACACACACACACACACACACACACACATATATATATATATATATATATATATATATATATATATATATATATATATATAAAATATGTGGTGCAGTTCAATTTATATTACATCAGTCATTCATACAAAAAACAGATTAGTGGAGTTAATGATATAAATGGCGAGAATAAATCTTCGCAAACAAATTTATTAAAATTACATTACCCCACGAACCTCTAGATGAATGTTGTGATCCCTGTTTTTGATAAATTCAACTTGTATAAGGTCTTTTTTTTTTTGCTGGTACTTTCATCTGTTCATACAGACATCATCAGGCAAGGAAATTGATTTGTTTTTTGTATGAATGATTCATGATATATATATATTTATATATATATATATATATATATATATATATGTGTGTGTGTGTGTGTGTGTGTGTGTGTGTGTGTGTGTGTGTGTGTGTGAGAGAGCTTAAAGTCAAATAGAACCCTTTTTAATCATATATATATGTGTGTGCGTGTGTGTGTACGTGCGTGCGTGTATGTATGTGTGTGTATGCGTATATATATATATATATATATATATACTAACTCCTTATCTTTACAAATCTGACAAGAAATGGAGAATTGCTGGCATATCTGAGTTGCATCTACATAATCTTAAGTTTGATAGAGTTTTATAATTATTTATGCGCCCTTATGGGTGATGACATATATTCAACTTTGAAAAGCTTTTCCTACAGATATTTTGAAACTTATTTTTAAATTCGTCTTATAACCAAGCGCCTAGTCATATATGCATCTGACCTGATTGGCGAATGAACAATTGTAGATTTTGACTTTGCTGCCCAACTTGTTTCTTTAGTGTCAGAATTTTCGTTGACAAACATGGTTGCACAAAGACTGTCAGACGGACAAAGGCGGTTAGATGGACAATGACGAACAGAGTTAGGTGGATAAAACCGAAAAAAGACGATTAGACGGACAATGATATTTAGTCGAACAAAAAAAAGTGAGACGGACAAAAACGGATAGCTGTAAAATGATAGACAAAAAGAGTTAGATGGACAAAGACGCTTAGACAGAAAATGACGGTTAGACGGACAAAAACAAATGCAGTAATACAAACAATGGCGGTCAGACGAAAAATGGCGTTTAAATGGACACTGACGGTTAGACGAAAAAAGAGGGTTTGACGGACAAAAACAGACAAAGACGGTTAGACGGACAAAGAGGGTTAAACGAACAGAACCGGACAAAGACGGGCAAAGACAGACAAAGACGGTTAGACGATCAAAGACGGTTAGACAGACAAACAGAGTTAGACGGGCAAAGAAGGTTAGATCTACCATGACAAAGTGGGTTAGACGGACAACAACAGGAAAAAAAAAAGAATAAGATAGACAATGACGTTTCGGCGGAAAAAAATAGACGGACAAGAAGAGTTAGATGGTCAATGGCAAATAAAGACCATTAGAAGAAAACTGACGGACAATGGCGGTCAGACAAAGACGGTTAGAAAGCGAAACAGGTCCTTGCGTACATGCCAAATTTTATATGTAAAACAGTGATGGCGGTTTTGGGCAGTATATTTTAACAGCGGAGAATGGCTTGATGGATAAGACTTTTAACTATCACGTTAATAATAATAATAATAATAATAATAATCGAAAGTAGATTTTATATCGACTCGAACATTGCCTAATGAGAGTCGCTAAGCATCGAGCAGATCTACACGAATGAATAGATAGCTGATACTAAGACGATAATTAGTGTGACATATTGAACCTGAAAAGGCGACTGACAAATCAACTGCAACAACCGCGAGCAGTAACATGAACACATACGAAACTGAACGAGAAAAGGAATGGATACATAGTGGTTGGTTGAGAGGACAGAAGCGAAAGAACTGAGAATATTTTGATGGCAAAAACCAAACAGCGTGTCACTATAAAGCTTTTGTAAGTCTCATTCAGAGTAAATTATCCTTTGAATGTCTGTGGTCCGTGAAATGGATAAGTGGTGGTTTCTATTGTGTGTCCATTGCCTAAATGGCCACTGGTGCGCGCACGCGTACGTATATGCATATATGTGTGCGTGGTTTTTGCTGTACGAATGACGTATCTATGTAATTTTTTTTATTTTTATTTATTGATTTTCTTATACAAGTCCTACTATTTAACCCATAGCTGAAAGGAGAAGAGGTGGAATCATACCTTTCGCACGGGTATTTGCACGTAAATGAATATAACGAACCGGACTGGAATTTGAACACGGCTCACCAATTTCTTATTCCGTGCCCTTATCTATTACACCGCCTGCACATCCAAGCTTACAGAATCTGACATTCCCAAGTATCTATGTGACGCGAATGATATTCACTAAATACTAAAAATGTGATATCGATGCGTGGGTTGATGTTATCAATTGGTGGTATCTTGTCTATATACCGAATAAAGAGAATTTGGCTAGTATATATTTCGAAAATCGTTTTCTTGTATAGTGCTTATTTCCACTAGGAAACATGCCCAAATTAATTAGCATTATTGTTATTATTATTATTATTATTGAGTTTTATTTACAGTTAATACAATTATGGCACAAGGCCGAAAAGAGCGAATGCGTTGAGGCTGGTCTTCACTAACTATCTTATTATTTGTGTATGTTATGTTTCCTTGCTTTGTATCCTGTAGAGCCGGGTCCAAACTATGATCCTTAGGCCCTATAGGGGAATTTTCATTTAATTGATAGCACTTAAAATATGAGTTGTTCCCAGTAGGGCGACCATTTGGGCATCTTGTATGCTGATGTTACCTGGGGCACTGTTAGTAAAGTTGCCCTTTCTTTTTCTCACGAGGCCCAGAGCCCCTATTACTGCTATGTCTATAAGCATATGCTTCCTTAATTTCTTGTATTTTATGATAATATCAAGTCTGTTGTCTTTTATTCCCTGAGGATAGTGAAATCGTTATTTTGGGTAACTGTGTCTGGTTGGTGCTCATACCATCTATCAGTAGTTTCGATTTTGTGCTTCTTGCATATCTTCCAGATTATTATTATTATTATTATTATTATTATTATTATTTTTTTTTTCTTTGATTTCTGGCGTTTACACCTTTCTTTCCGGGTCCAGCCCAGGGACCTAAGGTTAGAAATGGCACTATGACACTTTCCACTGACAAAAAAAAGAAAAGAAAAAGAAAATACATAGATAAAGCCCTTCGTAAGTTTGGGCTGTACTTGTCAGAACAATTTTTTGTATCTCCTTGAGGCATGGACTTCCAGAAATCCCTTCAATTAGTCTACTGCAATCTTTTCCAACCAGTCCTAGTGCTCCAACTACAACAGGGATTGTTGATGTTCCCATATACCACATTTTATTATTATTATTATTATTATTATTATTATTATTATTATTATTATTATTATTATTATCTTTGATTTCTGTTGTATACAGATTTACTTCTGGGTCCAAACACAGACCTAATATCAAAAATGGCTTCATGAAATTTTACCTGGATAATTTTTAAACTAAGCGCACACACATACAAAACCTTGTTCTCACAAGGTTTTGTATTTCTTTAAGGTATGGACTGCCAGGGATCCCTTCAATGAGTCTATCAAAACCTTTTACAATCAAACCGAGGGCGCCAACAACAACTGTAAATCACTGATGTCTTCACGCGCCACATTTTTTAGATTTCCACTTCAAGTTCCTTGTATTTTGATACTTTTTTGAAGATCTTCAAAGATACATTACAATCTACAGGGATTACCATGTCAATAAGAAAGGATATTTTGTTTTTGTGGTTTTTGATCACGATGCCTGAACGATTAGATTTGATTGTTCTTTCCCATAAAATTGTTACAGGTCCTGTCTCTGTAACCTGTTCTGGGTGGTGTTTATAGTTGTTTCTTGCAGTTTCCTTATTATTATTATTATTATTATTATTATTATTATAAAAACCAGGTTGTTTATGTGTGTGTGTGTGTGTGTGTGTGTACGTTTATATATTGGATCGGATTTCCTACATTTTTCAACCGATTTCAACAAAACTTCATAGGACTACGTAAAATTGCTTTGCGGTGGTTCTGACAGCGCCAGAAATTGGAAAAACACAATTGTTTTTGCACGAAATCAATTTGAAAACACGATTAAGAGGTATCACGAGAATGAAAGGGGGACAACTCATATCGAGTTATACTTATTATAAAACCCAGGTTGTTTGTGTGTGTGTGTTCGTTTATATATGGGATCGGATTTCCTACATTTTTCAACCGATTTCAACAAAACTTCACTTTTTTTTGGCAGGTAGTGTCTCTTATTGTCTTGCACACTTTTTTCTTTATTTTTACATTCAGAATGTTTTAAAAATTCCATTTAAAAGACAATTGTTTATACTAAAATTCTATTCAATCGGTAGACTCATAACGATTGAAAACAATGTTTTTGTTTGAGTTTGGGTTTGACCAATTCGTAAAAAAAAACAAAAAACAAAACAAAACAAACAAAAAAAACTAATTCAGACATGTGTGTCCGTCAACCTTAAACAATAATCTTTGTCAATTTTATTTTTCAGTCTTTATGATGGTCGATACTTGATCTATCTCTTACTGTTACATCCCCGGGCAACGCCGGGCTCTACTGATAGTTATTATTATTACACCATTTAAGAGAAGAGCGAGATTTATGAAACAGTGTTTAACAATGTTAAACGATATTTCGACAGTCTGTTTTCACTTTTTTTTTTAAATTTTCAATTATAAAAATACATAAATCTACAAAAACTTATAATTCTTTGTACAAACGTTGTTTGTCTTGTAATAAAAAAAAAACGGTTTTCCTGGTAATGGACGCGACAAAACGAATGAAACTCCGCCAACGTAAAGGCATGCACCTGAAATGTGCTTAATATGATGGTGATTTTGGTCATCTTTGAATTTTGTGTTAGTTGATTATTTACTAAGAGGAATTAATGTTTGATTCATTCTTAAATTTGTAAAAAAAAAAAATGGTGTTAATAAAACCCGTCCACCCCTCAAATATAAGATTTCCCGCTGTATTCTGTCTTCCAACAAAATCAAGAGGCTCGCTCGCTCTCGCTCTCTCTGGGGGTGGGGGAAGGATAAAAATAATTATGAGCATTATAAAATTCAAAAACCTGTCCCAGTCGAGATGAAAAGGGCAGACCAAAGCAAACTGGGAAGTTTGGGAATCTCGACTTGAATCACAGTGAGAAGCCGGACACAGGCCGGGAACGTCACTTACTCACAAACTAGGTCAAAATGAATGAAATTCCGCCAATGTGAAGGCATGCACCTGAAATGTGCTTAATATGATAGTGATCTTGGTCATCTTGGAATTTTCCGTTAGTTGATTAGTTACTAAGAGTTACTATTAATCAAACAGCTTAGTATAAATCTTAAGGAACTCTCCTGTCATTCTATTCATATCCCCGGGTCGGGGAGTTGTAATCATCCTCATGCGTTTTAAGGGTCGACAGGTCGACAAATTCTGAATATTTTTCAGACTGTGCACCTTAAGATGTTTGTTGAAATTACAGTCGTTAGCAATAAAATGTCCTACAAGATCCGTTGATGTCAGATTGTTGTGTCTGATATCAATCCTGTGTCCATTGAATCTTTTATTTAATTTTTACGTTGTTCAACACACATAAATCAAGTCATGTTTGGTACATTGGGCGGCGTATAATAAAGTGTTTTTCAAGCGGAGCTTAGATGTGACACAAGCCTGAAAGTATGGGGCACCCAGGGAGGATCGAACTCACTACTCAGTCGTAAATGTTCTAGCGAGACACGCTTGCTAACAATTACACCGCCTCGATTTGCCCTCGGCAGCGTATATTAAATGAGAATCAATGCAATTACCATCCTCTTTAGAAATCGTGATGTTTCTCTTTGAATTTGCGATAGAATTAATTTGACTTCTATGAGTGTTTTCAGGAGTTCAACGATCTGAAATTTCAATGGTCGAGACTTCAATTTGACCCTGTAATTCCGACAAGCGTAGTAATCTTACATAAATATACCTCAACATATTTCTATTATTAATCGACTGGAAACTAAAAAGACAACAGAAAGGGAATAAAGGTAAATGGTAAAGGAAGCACGGTGGAGTAATAAATAGCGGCTCGGATTAAGGAATCGGAGAGCCGAGTTCGAATTACAATCGGATCCTTTACATTCACTTACATGCTAATATCCTTGGGAAAGTATGAATCCACTTCTTCTCCCTCCAGCTATGGGTAAATAGCAGGGCAGACTGGGTTTTATAACCTTGGGTGGCAACTGGTCTAGGAGAAGGAAAACTCTTAATTCAAAACC